CCGCCGAGCGCTCCGACCGCGTTCTCGCAGCGAGGCAGTGGCCGCCGAGCCAGGTTCCCGTCCGCTCCCTCTCGCTTCGGCACCAAAAGTCGGAGAGCGCTCAGGCCCTCTGGGCCAAGCGGCCCGCAGGGTGGGCGAAGGGCTGAGGCCGCGACCGGGGGAGGCTGGCGGCGGCAGGGAGCCAAGACCCGGCTGAAGCTGGTGCACACTCCCAGCGCTCTTGCTCCGGGGAATCTGCGAAGTTCTTGGACCCTGGCGGGGCCGAGGCGAGCGTGCGGGGACCTCAGAGCCTCCGGGAACGGCGCGCGGGGCTTCGGCCTCTGAGCAGTTGCGGGGAGGACAGACCCTAACACGCTAGGGAGTCGCCCAACTCCTTCACCCGAGGGTCGGGAGACTTTTCTTCTTTCTTTTTTCTTGTTTTAAGGAAAAATAAAGAAAAGAAAATCTTACGCACTCGATATTGCTTTGTCCTCCAAATTAGGCAGTTTTCCTGTTTACTAGGTTTTTCTTTTTCTTTCCCGTAATTTTCCTCTCCTTTCCTTTTCGTTCTTTACTGTCTTCCCCTTCCTTTCTTTTCTAGTCTTTCTTTCCTTCTGTCTTTCCATTTCTAAGAGATGGTTCTGTGTGAGTGGGTGGGAAAAAGAGAAAGAGAAGGGGGGTGGCACCAGCCTTAGAGGACCCAGCATTGGCAAATGGCAGCAAAATTGAAGAAGAAACAATTTCGATTTATTGAACGCACTTCTGTTCTAGCGATTTCGTTTCCACACTTCTGCCTTCCCCGGGTATCCAACAAGCTCTAGGTCAACGGTGACCGGCAGGAAGTGCCTTTCACCAGGCCATACCCAACCTGTGGTCGTGGGGGCCCTTTAAAACAGTTTTTGAAGCACAGAAATAATAATAGTAATAGTCAAAATGAGCAGCATTTCCATTCCGCATCAATTTCCTCCTGAGTTTGCAGGCTGGCTCCGCGAAGCCGGAGCAACTGGAGACGCGCGTTGGTTAGGCTGGGCCCTTTTTTCGTTGCACCGGAACGCCTTGACCCGGGAGCCGCAGCCCTCCCCAGTGGCCTCGGGCTGGGGCCTGGGCCGGCTGTGGCAGCCGCTGGAAAGCTTTGCCGAACCGGCACCTACTGTCTACTCCCTACCCAGCCGCACTCCTTTTAGCCAGCCTTTCTGGCCACCTCACCTTCCTTGAAGTTTTCTAGTATAAATGCAGGAATTTTCGGCCCAATTTAGAAGTCTACAGAAACTCAGAGGGTCAGGTCATTAGGAATGTTAACGTAGCAACCAAGAATTATAAACATGATCTAAAAGTCTCTTCCAATTCATTTCTTCAAGTATTTATTTGAGTTAAGTGATGAAAAGTGACAGTTGTGAAACAGACAGCTTTTAAAAGTCATGAAGTCAGATGAGGCTTTAACCTGTCGATTGCTATAAATCAAGTTTGAAAAAGACGGATGAAGAATATTATTTAGGCGCCTAACAGCCAACATTTGCTGTGCGGGTGGCAGGTCCTAGAGTCGGCCTGTAGGAGCTGCAGGCTGGGGGGACCCCCAGAGGCCCTGTGCCTGGAGTGTGGCCCTGGGGTGGTGGAGCCCCCTGAGACCCTCGGTCTGAAGCCACATTTTGTTGAGGGCGGGTCTCCATTTCCACCAAGGCTTTGATCATGGATTTGGGCCACCCGAGTGTGTCTGGGCAGGTAACCCAGCCTTCAGCACAGTTGAAAATTCAGGAGACCGAATGCCAGGATGTATACTGGCATTCAGCCTGAATCCCCAGCTGGCTGAGGGTGTCCACGTCCTCCAGCCCAGCGGCTCGGAAGGGCCAGGGCCTGAATGACACCCTGATCTTATTAACTTTTTGGAAATGGTGGTGGCAGAGGTGGGGGAAGGGGGGGGAAGATGAGCAGGACATCATATTTCCCTGAGGCTCTGGGGGTGGGGAGTGGGGGTGGGGGCTTTGGGTTCTTGGTGACATCAAATGGCCCTAATATGGGAGGAAACTCCAGGAAGGAGGGGACTGGGACAGGCATTTGGAGGTCTTCTGATGGGAGAAGGATCTCAATTCTGCACAGAGTCCAGATACGTTTTCTGGAGGGTGAACTGGTGGGGTGTTTTAAAATAAATTTTACACACTTTCCTGCGGATCTCATTTCGCCTCAATTTCAATTTTCATCATAGCAGGACTTGAGGCATGGCCCTCTTCTCAGTGACTTCAACCCCATGTCCCTATCCCATCCCAAGTCTGAACCGGAGAACATGCCCAGGGTATCTGGCCTTCTGGGTCGGCTAGTTCTCTCTTTCCTCTAACGCTTCCGGAGGTGGGGAGGGTACAGACGATTCCCCTCTCCTTTGCCACCCACCGTCGTTACTTCTTAGACAAGTTGGTCATCCAGTGTCCTCCCTAGACTCCTGGAGCACGAGCAACAGGTGCTGGTGCATTTCCTCCCTTGATTCTTCCACCCGTTTCTCTCTTCATCCTTCTGTCTGGGTTTGAAGGCGGAGAGCAAGCCCGGGGCGGGCGAGAAGGCGGTGCCGGAGTCTTTGGGCAAGTGCCTGGCTGGCTGGCTCTAGGAACGGTCTGTGGTCCCGCATTCGCCTGGCTCAAAATTCCCGGCTCTTGACTGGAGGCTGCAATACTGAGGACCCTCTGAGGATGTGAGACCCAGAAGAAAGTGGAGGTGGGGGGAGGGAGAGTGAAGTGGACCACGCCCTCCCCTGGGACAGACCCTAGCTTCTGGGGGGCTAACTGGGCTGCTGGCTCCATTAGGCCCCATCCCGGCCTGCGACGCCTCCTCCGGGCCTGGGAGCTTGGTGCGGACCTCGGGCACCATCTCCTCCCCACTTCAGGTCCGATTTCCCTTTTTCTGGAGACCTGAACGTGGACTGGGAAGCTCTCGCCCTATCTGTGCCCAACTTGCCCTCCGGGTCAGCTTCGCGCCCGAGACTCCGCAGCGGGCTGCGCGGCCACCGCCCCCGCCCGCCCGGCTGGCGCCAGGGTGCCCGGAGTCCCAGGCTGGGGCGCCAAGGGCGCGGGGGCCTCCTGGACCTGCCTCGGTGGAAGGTGGGGAGGAGGGACTGCAACTTCCAGCTTCCGGCGGGGCGGGGGAAAACTCGGCGGGGGAGGCCGGTGGAAACTCCTCCTCCACTCCGCCCCGAGGCAGCCAGGACTCGGCTAGCAGCGCGTCTCCGCCCGCCCGAGCGTTTCCATAAATCAGGCCGCTGGCAGGCTGCTAATTAGCTCAGGCCGAAAAGAATAGGAAGAGGGAGAGTTCAGTAGTGCTCGGTGGGGTGGGGGGGGGGGTGGGAGCGCAGTAGGTGGGAGATCAGAATTTCCGCAGGACCCGCGGGCGACTGCCTGGGGCACCTCTGCAGCCCCCCCGCGGAGGCCACTACAGATCACTTTCCCCCAGCCGGGGCCTCCAGCCTGGCGCCTCCCGATCACACGCCTTCCGCACTGCGCGCACCCGGGTGTTGGACCTGGCCCGCCCACCCACGCCGAGGCCCCCTCTCCCACTTGCTGAGCAAACCCGGCGTTAATTAACTCTCCCCTCACCCCCTGCAATATCGGAAGACTTTCAAAACTCATCCCCAAATGTTTCCTTCTTAAGCCTGAAGCCTGCGTTTGTAACAACCGCCAGGAAAAGGGGGAGCTGGGTCTGGAAGGAGGGTCAGTCACCTCAGTGTTTTGGGGTATCAGCCCCCCCCCCGGATTGTGGGATGGGTTGTGGGATGGGACGCAGTAACCCTACTCTTCCTCCCCCAGTGAAAAGACAAGACGGGTCAATCAAGATCAGAAATAACACTAAAGTTGGATTTATTGATTTCCATGTAAATCCGGAGCAGAGGACGCCGCGAGTGAGAGTGATTTCTGTTTATTTTCTTTCTGTTCCTCCCCCACCCTTCTCCCAGCCCGCCGGGTTTCTGCGCCCCTCCCAGTCCTCTCCGCCCTCCGCGGGGAAGGGACTGTGCGATGACATCACCGCGGAGACCCGCGGCCTCCCCGCCCCCGGCCCCGGGACCCCGGAGCGGAGATTGACAGGTGTCGCTCGCAAGGACAATGCCTTCCAGGTGTCACCGTCACAGTCTCATCCCTTCTAACCCGCCCTCTCTGCCCCCTTCCCTCCCAACTCTCCTACCCACCCCACTCCCCTCCTTTTCTCCTTGGAGGAAAGCGCTCTCCTCCTCCCCCAGCTCTGCGCATCTGGGCACCGGGTCCCGGATCCCGGGTCCAGAGATGCGGGCCCGGAGAGGTCGGCACAGAAGGGCACTGGTGGCGGAGATTCCGCCTGCTGTTTGCCTCAAGGCGGCTGGGAGATCCCAGAGCTCCGGGAAGGGTCCGAGCCCGACCGTGGGCAGAGAGGGAATGTGCGTGTATTTTAAAGGAACCTGCGCGGTCTCTGGACATCCTACCTTCGCTCTCCACCCGAACCCCCCACACACATAATATAACAGACTCCAAAATAATCCTGCCATCTGGCAAATCCCAAATTTGGCGACCTAGCTACGAAAGCAACGGCGAGGTGTCATCTCGGGAGTAGGTGGCTGGTCCTGCCCGGCTCTTCCGAGCAGGGCCAAGGGCGCGGAGCTCTGCCTGCACCTGCCCCCAGCTCGGCCGGACCGTCCCCCACCCCATCCTTGCCCTGACCCTGCCGACTTTGTGGAGCTTTCCTCCCTCCGGATCTGGGCCTCGGCTTGGGGTGGGGCTGGGGAGGCGGGAAAGGACGTGCAGGAGTTAGGGCTTCCGCTCTGGTTTCCACCAAAACTGATCAATGAGCTAAAACCCAAATTCGGCTTCATTATTTAACACCGAATGTAATTTATAGCCGGGCGGCCTGTCGGGGGCGATTTACATCATTTGGTGCTAAGGATCACACATATTAGATTTCTTCAAAACCGATGGGGGTTTCTTTTACTTTCTTCCGTTTTTTTCCCCCCTCTTCTTTCTTTCCTTCTCCTTCTCCTTCTCCTTTCTTTCTTTTTTTTTTTTTTTTAAGGAGGGCATTTGTGCTAAATTGCCCAGTGCTGGTGTGATAACTGTCAAAAGTTTGACATCAAAGGAACTAATATTATTCAGTTACCAGAGAAGCTGTCTGTCTAAATAAGAATATCTTAATTACTGCATCACAAAGGTAGGAAAGGGGTCGGAGCTGAAAAGGGGAGAGGCATTCAGCCGCTGCTTTTGATGGGCTATCTGTATTAGACCGATGAGCCTCTCCTAATCAGGCCTAGTCCGATTTCCTTTCCTCTCCCCGTCGGTCCTCTGAACTTTATAACTATATGTAAACACGTTGTCAGTGGGGACCTAATCTTCTCGGGTTCTTATTAGAAGAAATTTCCATCCTCTCTCGTTCTAGATTAGGCGGTGGAGTCCTCTCCGTCAATGAAGGGACTAAGGTTTCGTGGACAATAATGTGGCAATTGTTGATGGTTTGTGACCCATAAAATGTGGAGGTGACTGTTCTGGCTTTGGTATGTAATTATGCAAAACACTTTCCATAAAGACTTGCCATTCGATCTAATGGCAGTCCCTGCGGTCTAGTTCAAAAAGGGAGGGTCTATGTACAGAGAGAGAAAAGTAACATTTGTTTTAACACAGGTTTTATGGGGGGGATGGATGAATACAAACACATCGCAACACGGCCCAAAGTATTTTTTGGAGTCAAATTAAAATAATTACGAAGGAGTTTAATAAGTTAATCATAGCAACACGGCCCATCCAAACACAGGGTGTAGGGGGGTTCGGGCTACAGCCCACCACCTCCCGACCTGACTCTGTGCTTGAGGGTGGCGATTCACCTCCTGCTTGTTCAGGGGTGGCTGGCGACACTGTCTCAACTCAGTCCACCTGGGTGCCCAGCTGGGATCTGAAGCCCCAGTTGAGGGCTGAGATTGGGGGAGGGGGAGGGGTGGGCCGTGTCATCCACTCCAAAATCTTGTCTGCGGAATTATTTGGCAGAGGGCATGTTAACAAAGCAGCCCTCTCCCGAGAAGCTCCCCCCTTTCCCTGGAGTGTCCCCAGTGCCTCAGATTTAGGGATTTCCCCAGAGAGGCAGGTAGGAGGGAGTGCCTGGCTGATTTGGGTGAGAAGTCTAAATCCTGAGCCCAGGTTTAGAGACTTAAGGACTGGGGCCCGAGTCCCAGCTGCTGAAGCACCTTTGGAAGGCACCTGAGGATTTGCTTTATGTGGTGGTTTAAAAATAATAATAATAATAATGTAGTAAAGAATTTAAAAGGGCCTGAGGAGGAAAGGTGGAAAGAGGGGGATCATCACTGATCCTGACCCAGCTCTGGCTGCTAGTTAAAAGCAAGCCTTTCTCTGTCACCTCCAGGGCCCCCATCCCGCCTGGATCGGTGCCCCCCCACACCCAGAACCACTCAGCATCCGGCTCTGCAGCCTCGCCGCCCAGCACACAGTGACACTGCAGCGTGAGCCCCGCAGAAGCCGGCGAGAGGGGATTTTTCAAGGGGGAAATAATGATTAAAAGAGAGAATCATCTAAATATCAAAGTGACGCATGGGAGACCTGGAAAAAATATTTAATCTAAGGAAAAGCAAATAAAGAAGGAGGCGCTTAGGCTGGGAAATTAAATATTATGTTTAAGATGGTGCTTTTGTGCGGGCTTGAATATTTCCGATTCATGTACACATAATAAACACTCAGGTTTGTCATCTGGAGGTGCAAATCTGAAAGATATTCCAACAAATGAAGTGCTGGCAGAGAGAGGAATAAAGAGATCGGCGCCTGTCAGGGGTCAGGCAGCCTGAGATTGCTTCTAGAGATCTTTTGAAAATTTCACACGATTGAAGGCTTAGGGGCTTCACTGCGCCCGCATTTCAAACTCAGATCAGTGGGATCACAATCAAAAATAGAGGTCTGGAAAATTTTGATGGAAAGATGGCCACGGGCTGCAGGGCTTCTCTCACCAGCTCTCTCTCTCTCTTCTCTCTCTCTTTCTCTTTCTCTCTTTTTCTTTCCAAGACAGATACTCCGGCATAGTTGTGATCCTTTGGATGACAGAGTTGTCAGAAAAGAAAGAGAAAATTGCATCTTGTCTCATAACTTCCTTTTAGTCAAAAGGAATTTAAGGTCTTCTTTCCAATAAAATGGGGGGGATGATTCTTTTCTGGCTAGTATAGGACCATAACTCAAGAGTTTGGGATTTCATAATTAATGATTGACTCCTGGACATTTAGGTTTGGCTCTCCTCTTCATTTTTCTGGCTTATTAAGAGGATTTTTCATTTAGTGTGTGTCCCAGCATTACACTGAAATTTCTTAACCACTGTCCACTGTAGGCAAGATCACGTGTATAGATCTGAGCATATACTTACATATATGTACACACACACAACTTTAATCTCTAAACCCGGAGACAGGCCTGGCTGCCTTCTTATTTCGAGGGAGTTAATGCTCACTCATATTTTGCCCACCTCCCAAGATGTCAGCGCTTTCTGGTTCAAATGGGACACAGAAAAATCAATTGTCTCTGTGATTGATCCACCAGGGGAAAGAAAATAAAAGGAACGGGGGTCGGGGGAGCTTCTATGAGAACAGATCAAACTAAGGAATTCTGAAATGGGACCGGGCTTAGTAAAGGCAAAAAAGCTGATTAGACCGCAAGAGCTGGAGACCACTTTCCCAACAACCAGAAGCAATAGGAATCACCTCAAATTAGTTTCTACTGGTTTAGCGAACTTTAGGAAGAGTAAAATGAGGGCTAATTTATCATCGCTTTGCCAACTTTAATTTTTAGCTGACCATCTTAGACAAACAAGAGGTATTTGAGGGCAATAATCTGAATCACAGTTGGGTTTCACTAACTCTGAGACCAGGAAGAGCAAAAGTAAGATTCTCAAGAACTTCCCTTAAGTGTGTATTAGGAGATCTCTCCTGGGGAGTGACCCCACGGTGGAGAAGAAGCCAACAGAAAGAAGGTCTCCTGTTTCCTGGGTTATGGACTCAAGCTGTTAATAACCTGGGTCCTTTAACAGGTGGGCAGAAACGGAAAAGTTTAAGAGTTGCACTGACTGGTTGTACAAGTTCAAATCCTTGGTTCCTCCAGCGGCCGTCCTTTGGGGCGTGGGCTGCGACGCCCCAGAATTGAGCACCTCAGGTCGCTGGGGAGTGGGACAGGCCCCAGCTGCTGCAACTCTGAAGGGAGAACTCGGCTAAGGGTGCCCTGGGTTTGGTGCTCCTGGAAGGAAGGGGGAGAACAGTGGAGTGTGTGTGCCTTTCAAGTCCCATATTTAGAGCTTTTGCAGACGCAAGTGGCCAATTCCAGCTGCAGAACTGCCCACCCTGGGACTTTGGAAAGGGCAGCCCTCTGTGTGCAGGGCGGCCTCTGCCCTCAAAATATGCTTCCCCATCCCTCCCCCTCCCTCAGAACCACAGTACAGGCATAAAGAGCAGGTTCCAAGTATAACTTTTATGAAACTCAAGCAGAGATGCAAACGAAGGGGAGCTTTCTCTTTACAGAAGGGCAGCCCACAGGGCCCTCTATCTGGCTCTTTCTCGGTCTCCCATCACGGACTAAGCCCCCCAGCTGGGCTTTAAAAAGCAAGGTTTTGTGCCGTGAATATGCTACGGGGCCTTTCCTGGCACCCCGGGAAGCGCTTGGAGTGAAAAGGGGCCAGCGGGATAACCGAAGGAAGCGGGGAGAACCAGGAAGGGATCCCAGGCTGAAGTGGGGGGTGGTACTCTGCCTCCTCGGGGCAGGAGCCGCGCCCGGGCCCAGCGGGGAGGCGGCGTGCTCCGGCCAGGGTTCCGCTGACACCGACCCCGCTGAGCGTCGGCGTGCTGAGCGCCCGGGATTTCCTCTCAACCAGGCCAGAGAAGGATTCCAGGCTCCTCTAGTGGTATGCGGGAGGTCTTGGGGGGTAATCCTTCCTGCAGAATGCAGAGCTGGAAGGAGCCTCGGTTAAAAAAAAAAAAAAAAAAAAAAAGAAAGGAAAGAAAAAGAAAGAAACAAAACAAAACAAAACCCACACCAAGAGCGAAGCAGTCTTGAGCGCTGTCCGCTTTGCCCGCAATAGAGGGGTTTTCTCGGACCAAGAGGGGAGGTGAAACCTATGAAACTCCCACCTCGGCAGGGACCCGCGCTGAATGTCCTTTCTGTAACCACTTGAGTAGGAAATCCAGGGGCGGGGACAGGGTGACAACTCCGAATCACAGGCTGCCGGTGACCTCTGGTCATATTGATGGGTCCTCCTTTCCTAGCATCGTCAGCCCCGGGAGTTGAGGACACGCGGGTAACCTTCCTGTCTCTGTCCCATTCTCGCCTCACAAAAAAAAAAAAAAAAGTCAGGGCCCAGCGGAGAATTGTAGAGTGGAGGTCAGAGGCTTCAGGGAGCTGGAGAGGAACTCGAAAACAAAGCAGAAAACAGCCCAAACGCCTCTGGCTGCCCGTGGGCCAGAGCTCAGTTCTTCTAGGGCAGTGCCGGCGCCAAGCCCTCTGCGCCAGGATCATCTCGGGCCAAACCTTGGGCTGGGCCCCGCGCGTCTCTGCCTGTCTGGCCTCGCGTTAGGAGACTCTGTGTGCACCCGTCTTTGCAGCTGCTGAGCCTCTCCCGCCAGGCTGACTCTGGGGGCGCCGCCCAGGTCAAGGAAGGTGCGGAGCGCAGGTAGAGAACTCAGGGCCACTGGCGTCTGGGCAGCCACGGCCGAAACCCTGTCCCAACATCTATACCGCACGCTCTGCCCTCTCCAGGAGTAAAACACTAAAACATCCCCGCGTCTAACGAGTGCTGGATAGGGAGAAGCCGAGCCACCGGAGGCATCTTCCCGCTGGCGCGGAAAACTGAGCATTTCCAGCGTTGGAAATCTCCCGTGGCTGCTGCGGGAGGTCCACCCCGCAGGGTCGGCTAGAAAGTACTCGAATTCCCACGTTGCCACCTTGGCCTTTCCTAAAATGATGTTTTAAAGAATGTCATGAAACTAAAAACACCAAGAGAGGCAACGCGTTTCTTTCCGTTTAATAGGACATAAATAAAATGCGCTTTTAAGCCATCTTACTTTCTAACTTCAAGGGAGCCAATGTTAATTTTACCTTTATTTAAATGACTATCTAAGCTGACTCCTGAAGTGTTCTCCCCTGCTCCGTCCGGCCTTCCAGATTTTAACATATGGAGAATAGTAATGATTTACCACTATCCTGGAAAGCAAGCAGCTCTTTCCAGCCTTGTGCCCCCCCACCCCCCAACACCATGACTCATTTTTGTGGATCTTGTTAATTTCATGGAACTCTATTTAAACTTTAGCCTGAAATTCAGGTGCCATGGAATGGCCAGTGTGTCTGCAATGAACTCCAAGTGTGGCGCCCTAGGATCAGACCCGACCTTTCCTTGGGTGCCTGCAGACGTTGATGCCACGTGATTTAGTGGGCACCATCTCCTGGTAGGAGGCTCCCTGACCCAAGTCCAGCCATGTACCCATGCACGCCCAGGTGGCCGCATTCCCAGGCGGGCTTTGCCACTGGGGACTAAAACTCTGTTCCTTGGAGGCAACAACTAGAGCGGTGGATGGCGGATCGAGGAACTTCGGGCGATCTTTTTGACACCTCGTCCAGTTTTTAGGATCTCGTGCCAATTTCTCAGTGTGTTTCTGTCCAGATAGACTAAGCTCTTTGGAGTTAATTAACCTGAGGTCCAGCTACAATTAATAGATAGCAAAGAAAAGACGGAAAGAGGGGGACTTTGTAGGAGGAGCAGGGAATAAAAAAAAAAAAAAGTAATGTGCGTTTAGCCGCATTCCTTTGCACCGGTTGGTCACAGTTAGTTACCGACTTTCCAGCTGCGAGGACGATGTGCGCCATTTACTGTAATTGAATTGCTGTTATAACACCTTTCAGGGGCACAGCAAAGCGTTTCAAAAAAGTTGTGTGCTTGGTCTGTGACTGCCTGTCCTCTTCCTGCCGTTGCCAGCCCAACAGGCACTCCGGGACTTGAGGGCATAGGGCTCCAGGCGCCCTGGGCGGAGCTGGAGGAACCTGGCCCCTGGCGAATCCATCTGGGGCAGCGGACGTCCCTAACCCAGCCAGGCACCCCGAGTAGGCTGGAACTCGAAGCCGGGACTGAATGAAGGATGAGGTTAGGACCTGGGATTGTAGAAGCTGGGAAAGTCAATATGTGGTCGGGAATGAACTCCAAGCTACCAAGGCCTTTGCCCTCCCCTGTTCTGTTGGATGTGAATTCTCAGCGCTCCCTGCCGAAGCTCCAGGTGGTTTGGCAGTGGGGCCTCCCCTTCCCCCTGCTCCCCCCCGCCCAGCCTAGGCCTAGCCTCTCCGAGTACCAAATCACCCCGAGGAGATAGGAAAGTTTCCTGCCCCCAGGCTAGGAGTTAAAGGTTGGGCATGATGCTGAAACACTCCCTTGGATCGCTCCCCACCCCATCCCTCTCTGACTCTGATCAAACTTCCTAGCCTCAGATTTCTGCCCTGCAGGTCGGGGCAGGACGTTGGAGCCCCAAGATTTCATTGGGCCTGTGGGACCTTCCTTCATCCCTCTCACCCTTGGGCTCATCTCCCTTATCGCTAAGTGGTGTCCTCGCTGTGACCACAAGACCAGCCCTTTTCTCTGGAACCACTCACTCTACACTGGCCCCTCTTGTGGCCTGCACACGGCTTTCTAGGCTCAAAGAGCAAAATTTAGAATCATAGGACAAGACCCTCCACACCGCCCCCTAGTTAGGATCTCCAGGCCTTCAGCGCACCCTATGCGCGCTCTCCAGAAGAGCGGCAGGTAGAAAGAAGTGGGGCAAGTGGGGGCCGGGGAATCTCCCTACCCCAACGCTCCAGTAAGATCCCCAGGCTAGTTTAAAGGCTAGGAAAAGGAAAAGGCAAGT